TATTTTTGTTTAAAGAACTGTTTTTCATAGTTTGCTTAGTATTTTTCTAATAAGTTATGTACATTAGGGTTTATGTGACATTTAATGTTGTTAAATTAATGTTTATTGCCTTTTTAAAATTTCATGTGTGTCACCGTGATGGTGTTTAATGTTTGAGTGAAGGACACTGTGCAGCTTTTATATTAAAACTATGGTATATGATGTTAAAGATCGGATCGAGAAAGACAGTAGGGAAGTTTTAAAAAAAACTCATCCCGCCCCTCCACACCATAGACTCCACACACACACACACACACACACACACAGCAAGTGTGTCCAATAGCATGTGAAGGCAGCAAACACTTTTTACTTTTTTAGTAATTTAAAAAAAATATTCACCTTTCTACTCAGGCAGCCAAGTTTTATTGAAAACCCTTTTTGCCAGCGGTGAAGAACCACTTTAAGCTATTGAAATCTGGTGGAGTTCAACTCTTTTGTCTTAAAGCGACTTTGCTTTAGGCCAAGCTGTACAGCAACTTGGCATATTAATATAAAATGTTTCAGCATTTTACAACTCCATCAAACATGAATTATTAAAATCAGAATTTATTTCCTAAAACAAAATAATTCATCCCTGATTAACCTGTTTTTACTACAGACAAATATAACTAATTGAGAATATCTAGATTCTCCTCTCAAACTTTTTCTCTTGATGTTATTTTCCATCTGAGAAGCAGTTTTGAAAATACCCTGGTGGTGATTCATCCCAGCTTTGATGTCTGATCTCTGAAGACTGGTACATCAGACTGAAAAAGGGCAGACATGCCATCACCTAAACATAGTATGGCAATTACATGCAGGGACTAAGTCACATGAAACATTCCTGTGCATGAAGGGAAAGAGATAGGCGGAAATAACAGAAAGACAGCTATAGGGAGTTAGAGAATTGGGCCAGTGCGTAATTTTATTTCCCAGCAGGGATTGTGGGAACTCATTCACATTCCAAGTCTTCATAATTAGACTTCATTCAGCAGCCGGTGCGCTGTACCGTAAACTGGTAATTTTGCTTCTTATTAAAGAGAAAGTAAGAGACTTAAGACAAAAAAGAGAAGAAAAAAAGAGAGAGGAGGGGAAAAACAGATGCAGGATGTTATGACCCAGTTTCCATAAACGTGAGTCAGTGAGGATGTGAGGAGAAGAAACTCTTAGGTAATTACTGAAAACACATGGAGTTTAATCCTCAAGGGGTTTCGCATGAGGGCATTCAAATCAGATGTTGTGTCACACAAAAAGCCACATAAACCTGTTAAAACGTATAGTTAAATCAGGTATACTTTCTCAAAAGCTTGGGAAAATGGCCGGCATGTAAAAGATTGGTTCACTCACACTAAAGATTTGGTGTAGGATTTACTTTGAAGCATTTTTTTCCTCAAAAATTGCTTTCATAAAAATGGGCAAGAAACACATGAGATCAGATGTAATGTGGAATGTGCAAAAATTTCTATCATCCTTTACTCACACTCATGTCATTCCAAATCTACACTTTCAGCTCTTTTCTATTTAGCAAAGATATAGGAACTATGATAGAAAATATTCTAAAGCTGTTTGATGTGAGAAACAGATTAAAATTGAACTTGTTAATCACTGTAATGTGCAATGAGAGTGTGTTAACCAATGCCGTTGGTCAGACCGTCAGACCATGTGCGTCACTGTTTTTGAGCTTGCACAAGCATGAATGAGATCTGACTGGTAAAACAGTAATGTTTTTTTTTCCACTCCCGCTGATTTCAGACAACTCGCCAAAAAAGCTTGTAAATAAATCAAATCTTTCTCCACATTTATAGAGTTGCTTCTAAACACTGATTGGAGTGGTGAAAATATCATTGGAAAGATAAAAATGCAGATAAAATTCTCAGATGTTGTTCCAATAAGGACAACGGTTTGTATGTAATATGAATTAATGATTCATAATTAAGAATTAAAAAAAGGGTTATTTCTATAACGGTGACCTAATTGGTTTCGAGGAGAACCTCTTATGAAACAGTTTTTCTGATGCTAGAAATCTCATTTCATCCTGACGATTGTCTCTCACAGTAACAAGAGATAAAAGAAAACACCACAGCAAGAGCACAGGATCAACTGGCTCGACGTTATAGATGATCAAAGTCTCGGCAGAAAACTGCTGAAATAATTGTACAGTTTCATGTTCTTATACTGTGAATCCTCAATTTTACTGGGGGTATAAGCAAAAACCTCACATAAACAAGGAGAATGCCCAGCAAGCAATTTTCTAAACATAGCCCTGACGTCTAGGCTAAAACAAGACAAAATTTGAGCAGTGAAAATCTAATAGACGTCTATAATGCAATCCAAGAATAGACTAGTCATCAAACCACAGACTATACGCAGAGAAATGAAACCAAAAACCTTGTAATCACTGTTGACTTTGCTTACATGATGGTATACCTCTAGGTATTTAGGCAAAAACGACATTCAAATTCCAATGAATGAATTCAAAGTAACCAAATTCAAGGTTATTTTGGCTAGAAGTGGGTTACTCATAGCCAGACAATACATTCTACATATGAAGAGTTCAGATGCAAAAGCCTCTAAATGCCATTTGAAATTTTCTTCTTTAATGATGATTTTTGATGAGTAATGTAATGAGTAATGAGTAATTTCACTTAAATGGCAATGATAATTACCTATTAATTGTTATTTAAGTGAAATTAATGAAATAAAATATACAAGTTTGATAAAAATCATCATTAAAGAAGAAAATTTCAAATGGCATTTAGAGGCTTTTGCATCTGAACTCTTCATATATTACAATGTTAAAGGTCACCTTAAAAAGTGGCTTATGTCAAACCAGTTGTGTTAACATTTTATTTAGGTATTTTAAATAATGTGTTTGGGGTATTTGTGTTGTGTATGTGTCCTTATGGATGACTACGATTATAAATGAGCAATTTTGCTATAATCCAGCTTGTTTTATGTTGCATTGTTCCTATCAAATAAATAAACAAACCAATTGTTGAAATGACTAATCGGTTTTGGACATTGCTCATGTGCTGGATGTGAATGGGCACAGAATTAAATCACTCTTAAAGCACTGAGACACTACCAAGCAGAATGTTAGTGCTGTGGCTGGTCAAGGAAGGTTAGAGAGCATTTTTATTGAAAGATAAAAATAACCTGAATGTGGGACCACATCAAAACAGCTTAAGATGGATGAGACCTCCAACCTCTAATTTCATCTTGAACTGTAAGAGTTTATTGAGAGGTTGTGTGCCAGTAAAGAAAGTAGTTTAGTTTTCTTAGATTAGTTATCTACTGCAAAAAAACAACAACAAACAAACAAAATAAAACCTTGCATTTGCCAAAGAAAATAAGGACTGGAGTGTGGAAGATTGGAGTCAAAATTGCATTATACGGTGTTATGTTTGTAGGAGACAACTGGTGTGTTTTAATACCAAATGCATGCGTGTGCCATTAAGCACGGCAGGGGAAACAATGTTATTGGGGACTCGTGTCAGCAGCAGGTTTTGGAAGGATCTACAAAGTTGCAGGCACTTTGAAAATGGACCAATACTTGGACAAAATGTCAAGTAGGATCTGTTTGGAGATCAAATGTGTATTGTTCAACACAATAATGATTCCAAACACACCTTCAATGCAACAAAGTTGCATGCAATGGAAGTGTTCATGCTCAGTATTTTGAAGTCTTCAAGTGCCTCCTCTAAAAACCTGCATTGTGAGAAAACACGCAGGTCTTAATGAAGCTTATCTTTGAAGAACTGAAGGAGGATTGGAAATACATTAAATATAACACACGTGCAAAGTTTAGTGAGTCAATGCCCATGGCTGCTGTAATCAAAAACAAGGGAGAGCCAACTAAATATTTTTACACTGTAAGCAATGTTTATCATTTCCTGTGAGCTCCTTTGATATTCTATGCCTTTTTGCATAAAACAATAAAACCTATATTTAATAAAAAGTTTGCTTAAAATAATGCCCAAATAATTTTGTCATTTTAATATACTAAGTTTAGTGTATTCTTCCCAGTCTATAACTCCTCTATATACAGTAGGTAAATGCAGCCATGGTGCATAAGAGTTCCCTTTTAATATATACAATATAATATATATATATATATATATATATATATATATATATATGGCTTATATTTTGCCTGGATGAGGAGTGTGGTGTGATGTTAACAGCTGACATGTAATGAGCAGTGAATCATCTGAACAAACCTTCACCGATTAAGCTGCAGGAGCATCATTATGATGATGCTCCCCAATCACCTGCTTGCATTTGTATGTTTGTAATTATGGGAGCAAAAGCATTAACCTACCTCCAGGCTGTCACACAGATCTTGCACACTTGAATCTTAATAATTCCAACACTGGAGAGAGTGTTTGTAAAGATGGTTTGAAAGACTAACTAACAAACATTCTAATAAATATTTACTAAAGAATAAAATATCACACCTTTCACACTGAAAACGTAGCCTAGCCTATCTGTTTTAGTTTTTGTAGGCTAATTCTCTCTGACCCTTAAATGTGAACGTTCATTAGGCTACCTTTCGATATTTTGCTTAGGCATTTGTTTTGTCTCAAATTATTAAATATGGAACATGAAAGTGACTGAGTCATTCCAGTTTTACTGTCATCCACAGCATATTAGTAGTCTATGCATAACTTCACGATTAGAAAAGCATAATTAAAGGCTCTGTCACTCGTTTTAAACAGCACATTAGCCTACCATTTCAAAAGCGTGCTATGATTAGTCTTCTTATACGCACACAAAATAGGCTATTGCCGTTAGTCATAAATTGTCAAAACAGCGTAATACCACCTGTGATTAATGTTCAGTTCAGAAATTCATGTGTTAGTGTCCTAACAGTGCATTATTACTAAACATTTTCGCTATTTTTCTCTCAGCACTTGAATGCTCATCATCATCGCCGTTCTTGTCATAAGTTTTCATAACAGCGCAGTAGATATGCGGAACATCACCGTTACTGTGATTAGTGTTCATAACAGCACACTACACACTAGGCTACATCTGAATGCTCAGTCAGCAGTGACAGGCAATCACTACAAACGCTGCAAGTCTCTCGTGGATCCGGGAAGAACTTTTACGCATTTCTCTGAAAATAGCAAGGTGACATTTTTTTTTTTTTTCTGAGACGTCTGCCTTACTGACACACTGAACTCCAAACACTGGTCGACTGCCCTGATTCCTTCTGGACGGGCTGCTGACCTTCAGGCGTTTCAGTGATCATGCTGGAAATTCACTTTGAAAAGAAATGAATTCTTTTAATGAAACAACGAATCTGGAGAATAACTATATTTTCGCCGATGAGACTTATCAACTCCTGACGTTCACCATCGGATCTATCGGTGTCCTGGGCTTCTGTAATAACATCATCGTCATTATTCTCTACTGCAGATTCAAGAGACTCCGAACTCCGACTAATTTGTTAATAGTGAATATAAGTGTCAGCGATCTGCTGGTGTCCCTCACTGGAGTTAATTTCACATTCGTCTCGTGCGTGAAGAGAGGATGGGTCTTTAATTCTGCCACATGTGTTTGGGATGGATTCAGCAACAGTTTATTTGGTCAGTTCTGTCTTTAGTTCCTCGTGTATCGACAGAGTCACTTGAATAAGTTGTCTATAGCCTACTTCGAATTTAATTTGAAGAAAGTCATTCTCTTACATGTTTTTTTTTTTATCTGTTTACTTCATCAATACAGATGATTGATTAGCATATTCCGTTTGGTGATGGCTAGTTTATTCGTCTTTTATTGTAGCCTTTGTCCTCTGAAAATTGTCATTTTTAAATGTGTTTTTGGTCAGTTGTCATTAAAATGGTCTCATATTGCTGTGTGTTAACTCAAGGAAAATTTGAAGAACAAAACGTTTTTACAAAGTCGCGGCGTTTGTTTTTGTGCAGTAATACGTTTTATAGAAAGCTATAGATAAATAGGCTATAAGAAAAAGCAAATAATTTAAAATCATCTTGACCATATAGGTACCTGCGTAGGTTTATTACGCAAACCAAACAGGACCAAAATGTAGGCTACCGAGGTTTTTGAGCAAAAATAAGCTACAGTAACGTTAACGTTACCACCGACCACATAGCTATTTGTGTGGGGTGTGGTATGTATTTATCACAACTGCCAGGCATTAAGTAAACTTTAAGTAAGTTGAGAGATTTTTCTTAAAATTAGATTTGTGAAAGTCTAGACTTTTTAATGGACGCACGAACGGTCTACATTTCTCACGCGACAAAGGTCACCACAGCAACGCCGCCGCGCGCAGCGAGACTGGATCTCGGTGCGTGTCCACTACAGCGGCACAACTCCGCTCAGTGCCGCTGGCAACGCTATAACGTCTCCGCTTTGTGGTGTGTCTGTTGCGAGAGTGTTTTTAATCTGTTTTTTTTCGACATATACACACAGTATAATCATCAGAGATGCACGCGATTACGTTCGGAAATAGACAAACTTTGTTTACATAGGCCTAAATGCGCCAAGCAAAGATATTCCATCAATTTTATAAACTTTAATAAACCCAGCCAGTATAATACAATGAACACATCCAAAATTGTTTAACATAGCCTATAACAACTGCAACGCGTCTAATTTGTAAACAAAATTATTTACGCACTAAATCCAGCATAAACTCCAGTACAATTTGCATATTTTTAAAATCTCAAAACAGACCGCACAAATCACATCCCGAACCGCACATCAATGGCTGTGCGACCGCATTTTTCGCTTGATATTTGCATAAAGTCAAGAACTGGCCAACCTTTTTGACGCTTTAGGTCGCTCTCAACGCTTTCTCCGCCGGTTCGCTGTCAATCCCATAATGCAATGCGCGAGCGTGCTCGACTTCCGCTCCGCTCGCAGCACGCTAGTGGACACGCACCGTGACACCTTGCGTCGCGACTCGCGACGAATCTTAATAACTTCTAAAAAGCCACGAGAACAAGACAACACATTAGAGTAATATCATAACTTATGTTATTTTATAATATCATAACTTGTTATGTTACTTGTGAGATTCATAACAATAGAGTCATAACACACTGCATTGATAAAATGAACATTAAATGACTTTGGATAACAGCTGAAACATTTGATCTTGTAAGAATTTGATGAGAAATGTTCACATTGATGAGGTCGTTTGATAAGATCTTTGAGATCTTACAGTTTTAGATATTGTAGAGATATCTTTTTCAACTGTTGAAGAGGCGTGAGTGAGGGTCTTTTTCTTTGGATGAAAATCTTAGTGACATGAAACTTAATTCTCTGCCATTTTGGCTTTTCTACACCAAATGATTTCATATGATCATCATCTGACTCGTTTGATAAGTTATAAAGAGATTTTTGACAGCATGATTGAAGAAAATGTATGGCTAACTTTATCTACTTATATCAGATATTGCCTTAGCTTCATGGTCATAATAACATTACATGCTTAATTAGGCCTAATTGATGTTACGGAAAGCAAAGATGCAGCTCTAAGCATTCGTAAACAACTGTGACACATGAATGAAAATAAAAGTCCATCTGCTGCAGGGAAAGATAAAGTTGAATCGGATAATGGCATTTTAATGGACCAGAAATAACCGGTAGAATATCAACAATGCATCTGTGAGAGGATATGCTTTGAGAAGAGCTTTGTAATCTCATTTCTGAAAAATAGATGGTCATCTTATGCACCTGCGCCCCCAAGGTCACACCTGCTGTCATTCAAAGACAGAAAGATCATCCCTCATGATTGCTGCTGTACTGCCTCATTTGACGCATTTAGAAGTGAAATCGGATTCCTCTTATGCTTCTACAGTTGTTGAGTCTATGACCTCAATTTTTGCCTCCTTGAGAATTGACTAATTTAAATAAAACCAGTTTTGAAGAGATGTTGCTCAGTGTGTAATCCTGCATTAAATTACCAATGTAAAAAGAGGTATTTGTGAATATATCTGACAGCTGAGAGGACAAATGCGAGTGCTGCCTCCCCACCAGCTCTGTCACTGAGGACTGTGATGATGTCTGGGTAATTGGGAGAAAGTCTCTTGGCAGAATAGTCTCTGTCTGTGTGTATATACTGCCACTCTGACATACAGTTATTTACTTTATAAAAATGAAATGATAGCAATTACTATGATCCATCTTCTGTTGAATTTAGGACTGTATCCTGGGAGCTTGGTTTCTGTAAAAGAATAGGCACACAATTATTTAGCATTTATATTTATTTTTATAACACTTTTCACAATATATATATATACAGTTTTAAAGCACATTTACAGAAAATCGTGATTTTAACGTTTTTAGCTCAATATCTTCACATCTTATAGTTGGAGCTGGGCAGTAATATCACACAATCTGTCAAGAATATACAATAATCAAAAGAAAAAAAAACAAATAAAATTTTGTACCAGACCACATCCTTATAATTGATTTAAAAACTATTATATTTGTATTATTCATAATAAAATGTTATTTTGAGTGCATGATAAATTATTTATACAGCATAGTATTTATTCTAATGCTCTAATTGATCTTTTAAAAAATCATTTACTCCAGGCAGGATGATGAATGTTTTATAGTAATGGGAATATTATGAGAAGCAAAAAATAAATAAATAATGAGAATTACAAACAAACTCAAAGATAAATATCTGGACACTTCATCTGTCTGTCTGTCTGTCTGTCTCTATCTATCTATCTAATACATCACCCAAAAATGAAAATTAGACACCCTGAAGCCATCCTATGTGTATATGACATTCTTCTTTCAGACGAATACAATCGGAGTTGAATAAAAAATATCCTGGCTCTTCCTAAGTTGATAATGGGAGTGAATGGCTGTCTGTCTATCTGTCTATCTATCTGTCTATCTATCTGTCTATCTATCTATCTATCTATCTATCTATCTATCTATCTATCTATCTATCTATCTATCTATCTATCTATCTATCTATCTATCTATCTATCTATCTATCTATCTATCTATCTATCTATCTATCTATCTATCTATCTATCTATCTATCTATCTGTTTGTTGGTCTCTCTGTTTATCTGTCTAACTAGGTCAGCTGTCTCTTTATCTCTCTTTTCGTCCTTTAAGGTATCGTGTCCATCATGACTCTCTCCGGCCTGGCATATGAGCGTTACATCCGTGTGGTTCATGCCAAGGTCATTGACTTCCCCTGGGCCTGGAGGGCCATCACACACATCTGGCTGTACTCTTTGGCCTGGACTGGAGCTCCTCTCCTGGGATGGAACCGCTACACACTGGAAGTCCATCAGTTAGGCTGCTCTCTTGACTGGGCGTCTAAAGATCCCAATGATGCTTCCTTCATTCTCTTCTTCCTCCTCGGATGCTTCTTTGTCCCTGTGGGTGTCATGGCCTACTGTTATGGAAACATCTTGTATACAGTGAAAATGGTAAGGCAAACACTTTCCTTTAATTATGTGTGCCACAGACTGAAAAAATGGTAACCTAAAAATTATAACATCTAAATGAATCATTTTATCGCTGACTTTGTCTCTGGATGTCTCATTTATACAGTACGTATATATCTCCTTCAACCTGATAAGCTACAAACGCACTACTTCTCAATCAAAAAATAGTGAGCTGCCTAACTTTGTAAGGGGTTTTTACATTGATTTATGGTGGTTGTTTCAATACATGGTCTTATATTTCAGCCTGGTCTCATTGTTAATACGTAGCTATTTTACGTTTTTGCAAAGATAGAAAACGTACTTTTTAGTACGTTTGGATAGATGCTGAAACGTATAATATAGACGTATCTGCAACATTTAAACGTAACATTATTACGTTTTTACAGCTACAAAACGTAAACTATTTACGTATATTCTATATCATAAAGATATCTGGATAATTTCCCTTTTTACTATTTTATAGATAAATGTAAGATCCCGTAACCCTAATCCCAAACCTAAACATACCCATTAATATTAATATACCCACTTAATATAAAAAAGGATAAAACGTAACAGACAGGTGTTGGGAAAGGGCAGTTTTATTAACAATATAGCATTAAAATATATTTGAGCCACCTACTCCTACCCCTAAACCTACCATAACAATTCCTTAAAACTACGTAAAAAAACTACAATTATGAAGAAAAACATAACTAACAGACAAGTATAATCACAATAATTTATTTATTGCGAAAATGTCAAAACCGATACCAAAAGCCGTTCACATGATGAAGCGTTGCAGTCGCAGTCTTCTCTCTGGCAGTATTGTAATAGTTTTGTATGAAGTACAGAGCAGAAATTAAATTACTAATGAAAATGTTAATCCGGCTTCGGTTGGTTCGCGCTTCTCCATTTCAAAATTCAAATGAACTAAACTAACCAACCGTCTACAGTCCTTCATGTCGCAAACTGTGACGAAGCAGGGAAGAGCCAATGAACGTTTGATATCGCTGCCGTAAAAGATGACGTATGGGCGCAATATTTGAATTTGAATTCATCACCAGCGCGGGGTTTGACTTGTAACGTTACGGTCGCTGCTGAGAATGGAGATCACGACTAAGAGGCTGAAATCGCTGAATTAGGAGTTGTTTCTTGCAAACAACTATGGATTCTAAAGATTTGGATTACATCAAACTATTAAAATTGATATCTTTTGTGAATTTTTGTTGTGTTTTATAGGAGAAAACGCTTTATGTGTCTCAAGGTAAATAAACTATTACAACATGGTTGAACGAGTAACGTTAAAGAATGTATTTTTTTAAGGTTTTATAGTGTATTGTTTAACACCATGCAGGCGAAACGAGCAAAATGTTAATATTTATGAGTATTATATCAATAATGCGACTGAAAACTTAATTAATAAGACAGTGGGATGCAATAGAGTCAAAACATAATGCTACGATATTAATATGCATAAATTGTGATACGTACAATGTGTACGTCGGTGGATTTGTTCATACGTAAATAAATTACGTTTTTGTGCTGTCAATACGTAAATATTTTACGTTTTAGTACTGTAAATACGTCAGTATTATACGTTTCTGCGCACATAAAACGTAATTATATATACGTATGATAGAACGACACTTTACGTACACATACATACGTATTCTCATGAGATCACGTTGTATATTTATATATACACACATACATATGTAAACCACACACACACAGTTTTGGGGTAACACATTACAAGTAGCGTGAGTTACAAATTACAATAAGTTACTTTGTTTTCCCATTTATTGACTGACAGCTCTCCTGTCCTTATGTTGACAGAAATCAGATTAAATGAATATGTCACCCAAAAATAAAATTTAGACACCCTGAAGCCATCCGATGTGTATATGACATTCTTCTTTCAGACGAATACAATTGGAGTTGTATAAAAATATCCTGGCTCTTCCTAAGCTGATAATGGGAGTGAATGGCTGTATGTCTTTGGAAGTCCATCAAATGTATTCATGATTATAGTGCTCCACGCATCTTATCGACTTACACCAAAAGAGTTACCCTTGAACTTGACGCACAACGTAATGACGGCAATTGACGCCTCTCCTGGCTCAAACAAACTGGGCTGGGAAACTGTTCGTCATTACGTTGTAGTCGATGCGTACACCCATCTAGTTATTTTAGTTGATGAATTAAATATGGATATTTTTCGTACACTAACGCATCGCTTCACTTCAGAAGGCCTTTATTAACCCCCACCCCCCAGAGAGGCATGGAGCACTTTAAACATGAATAGATGCGCTTTGATGGACTTCCACAGACAGCCATTCACTCTCATTATCAAGCTTGGAAGAGCCCGGAAGAACTCCGATTGTAGTTATGACTACAGTGAAGAATGTCATGTACACCTAGGATGGCTTCAGGGTGAGTAAATCATAGGCTAATTTTCATTTTTGGGTGAATATCCCTTTAAGTGTGTGCGCTGTGTGAAAATGATGGTTATTGTAGTGCTAGACTAACGTTAAATTCATCTCCCTTGCACAAAACACATTTAGTATTCCTCAAAATAAACAAAAACAGCGAAATGCAAACTCAAATTATTACACAAACCTACAATAACACAAATATACTTTTTATGTACAGTATTTACATAATCTCACTTTATTAACCAGTGTCTTTGCTGCTGTCCTTCGATGAGCCAATTTAACCACACTAGTAATAAGCAAAAATTTCTTTAGATTAATATTACATTTGTGTTTTGTATTGATAAAGTTAAGGTGTGGAATTTTTTGGAACAATTTTGTCCTATTGTTCTGATATCCAGAAAGCTAGCACAGCTGAAAGGTTTGTTTGAGCCTATAAGGCTTATTCATTTCACTTTTGCCGTGAAAAGGCCTTTACATTTTTCAAGCATAGTCTAGATGAGAAAAAGTAATGCAAAAGTAACGTGGCATATTACATTCCAAAAATAATTAAATTTCACAAATTTAGTTACTTTATTATATACAGTATATAGGCACAAACAAAACTGTATTTTAAAGCGTCACATGACCTGTGATTTGCATGTCACTTGAGTTCTTTCTTTCTATTTTTAACCTTTATCATTCTCTCTTGTTCTTTTATGAACACACTGTCAAGCTGTTGTGATTTAGGGGCCGACACATTCTGTATGAGGGGCTATTTAAACTAAAAGCCTATTGTGTGCAGGTCCCTTCAAACAATAAGCAGAGACTGTGATTGTGAACGTAAATAGCTTGTGGTTTTCATCAGCGCTGTTCTTGTGCGTCAGATTTGATCAGGTGTGCCGTCCACGACGGGGGAGGGCAGGACTGCTGTAAAATTATCTGCAGATGTTTGTGTTCTTACTGAATTGTTTTGAAATACTGTCTCTAATCTTAGCTTTATGTACAGAGACAGCCACAAGTAAGCCATTTGTGGGTTGATTCCCATGAAAGCATTCAGCAGGGTGACATGGCCAGCAGCCATATCCCTATAGCCCAAGACTGGTTGCCCACTGAAGCTAAGCATGAGCTTGGTTAGGATGGGAGACCTCTTGGGAAAACTCGGTTGCTCCTGGAAGAGGTGTTAGTTGGTCTGTGTGAGTCCTAACACCCAGTAAAGTCGGGTCACTATACTGTCAAAGAGCACTGTCTTTCGAATGAGACGTTAAAGCGAGGTCCTGACTCTCTGTGGTCATTAAAAATCCCAGGATGTCTTTCGAAAGAGTAGGGGTGTAACCCCGGCATCCTGGCCACATTTGCCCAGTGGCTTCTGTCCATTATGGCCTCCTAATCATACCAATATATATATATATATGAAGAGTTCAGATGCAAAAGCCTCTAAATGCCATTTGAAATTTTCTTCTTTAATGATGATTTTTATCAAACTTGTATATTTAATTTCAGTAATTTCACTTAAATAACAATTAATAGGTAATTATCATTGCCATTTAAGTGAAATCACTGAACTTAAATATACAAGCTTGATAAAAACTATCATTCTAGAAGAAAATTTCAAATGGCACTTAGAGGCTTTTGCATCTGAACTCTTCATATATATATATATATATATATATATATATATATATATATATATACTCATTAGCTTCATCACTTTGTCTCCTCTCCACCAGTTAGCTGGTGTGTGGTGTGTGTTCTCGTACAATATGGCTGGTGTCACATCATCCTCCTGAATGCACATTGGTGGTGGTTGAGGAGATCCCCCCCCCCCCTTCCATATGTAAAGCGCTTTAGGTACCTACAAAAATGTTATAAAAATGTGACAATGTATTATTAAAAACAGGAAAACTGGCTGAAGTTTCTGGTGAAATGATCTGTTGTGATCAATGGCAGACTGCATACATATATATTTGTACATGATGGTGTGGATCACTATGTGAGATCAGAAAATGTACGAACTTGAACAAACCACAACAACCACAGTTATGATGAGCAGCCGATTATGTACCAGCACAACACAAGACTGCATTTGGATTGAATCCAAGAATTGTATTGATTTGAGACAGCAAAAAAAAAAAGCGTAGATTGAGAGGAACAAACAGCTCAGGTATGAAGTGGCATCAGTTCATGCATAGACACTGGTGGTAATTGTAGTTCACTTTGAAATTAATTTTTGATATGTTTTGGCTTACCTCAAGGGCATCCAAGATGTAGGGGTCTTTGTTTCCACAGTAGTTTTAATTTTGATATTTTTAGGTCAAACCGTTTGTCTATCAGTCATATAATGGAGGTTTTATGGGGTCCACCTTAAAGAGCATGCACAGAGAAGTCCAAATTAAACATGATTCAATGAATCGTGAATGTAAGTACACATTGATGGCCTAAGACACGAAACGAGTGGTTTGTGTGAGAAAACGAACAGTATATATATCGTTTTACCTCTTGTAACCACAGCCACGTCCAAGTGATCTGAGGGCGCAGGCGCTTTGTGGCTGTGGTAACAAGAGGTAAAAACAATACAAATACTGTTCGTTTTCTCACACAAACCGCTCGTTTCTTGTCTTAGACCATCAATGTGTACTTACATTTACGAGGCATTAAATCATGTTTAATTTGGACTTCTCTGTGCATGCTCTTTGAGGTGGACCCCATAGACCCCTATATGACTGATAGACACAAACGGTTCGACCTAAAAATTTAAAAATTGAAACTACTTCGGAAACAAAAACACCTACATCTTGGATGCTCTTGAGGTAAGCTAAAACATATCAAAAATTAATTTCAAAGTGAACTATCCCTTTAAAAATGTAGATGACTTCAACACGGCTTTGGAAGCTTCATAAGGACACTACTAAAAGTTAAACCCTTAAAGCACAATACCACACGAGACCCCTTGAAAATACATAAACGCGCATTCACAGTGTTGGTATTCTTGCTCCGCAGTTCACCCAAGAACGCACAGCAGGGGTATCTTAGTCATCCAGACTGCTTCTTTTCATTCACTATTTCTCTCCGTTGGCAAAGGGAGGGTTTACAAAGTGCTCTAAATTTTGGGTTTTTTTCTCTTAACTTCACCTTTAGTGTCCTTGTCTTTAGAGGATCGTGCTGCCTCTGTGTTGATTCTGTGATTTAATTAATCCCAGATCAATAAATGCATTAATGAATCACTGAATCAATAAGCACATGAATGAATCAGGGAATCAATAAATGCATGAATGAATTGGTAATTCAAATTGAGAGATTACTTAGAGTCGTATGCATTTATAAATATATTTATATTTACAACACGGTTTAAAACATTTTAAATGGTAAAACTTGACCACATTCCCATGTGTTATACACATTCTCTTTTAACCTTAATCTTGATTTTCCCAAGATTTTTTTTTTCTCCATCCAATCACCTGATGGAGTTTTGGTTCCTTGCCACTGTTGCCTTGCTTTTGGCTTGCTTAGTTGGGGACATTTAATATTCGACAATATTATTGATCTGTGTTGTATTACTTTCATGTTATCACTGTGAAGCTGCTTTGACACAATCTGTATTGTAAAAAGCGCTATATAAATAAGTGTGACTTGACTTGACTTTAATTAACCAAAAAATGCATACTCCTTATCATCTACCCAAATAATGAATCAATGAAGGCGTTATACATGCCTTGTGAGCAGCATGAATATACTGGGTTGGAAAACCATCTTCAGTTTGACTAAATTATTTCAGGAGAAAAATTTGATCAGCTGTTCACACCACCTCCAATGCGCACCCAAGCGGTGACCCAGTTCTGTTGCACAATGGCAGGAGCTCTGAGAGGTGCTCAGTCAAACTCAGCACATTTTATTGCTGTTCTTGCAGCTGTGTGAAGATAATGAATGCAAATTTTATGTTAAATTAAAGAAGCAAAGGGAGTTTCATAGGGCAGTATGTTTCTGAGCATATGACCTCTGTCGAAAGCCAATCAGCTTGGGAAAATGTATGTCTTTATCACCATGAATATAATGTGCAATATATTATGTGGAATCTTTTATGACCAGAGTTGGGGTTAACTCATTACAAGTAATGTGAGTTACGTCATCAGATTACTTTTTTTCAAGTAATGAGTAAAGTTATGGATTACTTTTAAATGTACAATATTTGAGTTACTTATTCAAAAAAGTCCCCATGTTGAGAGAAAAAGAGAAGCAGAGGTGTTGTGTGCGCTGTGTGAACATGATGGTTTTCGCAGTTAGATTAATGTAAGCATGCATTTATCTCCCTTCCACTAAACTGATTCAGTATTCCTCAAAATGAAATAAAACCGCGAAATGCAAAGTCAGAATATTATGCAAACCTGCGATAAATAAATATGCTAAATAACTGAAATATACTCCATATATTTAATCTCACTTTATTATTAGTTACTCTAAAAAAGTCATTTCTAGCTACTATCTCAATTAGATTACTGTACTAATTTCTCTCTTTAAAAGTATTGCATTACTTGTTACTTTCTAAATCCCAGATCAACCTCGAGCAGTTTAACAATACTACAATCACACACAATATAAAAAATCTAAGGTTGAATGTCATGACCTGGTCTTTTGTGATGTGCTTTACTAAATGAAACAGATTTATGACAAAATGTCCTCTGTTCTCCTCCTATAGCTGCGCTCTATCCAGGATCTGCAGACGGTTCAGACGATTAAGATTCTGCGATATGAGAAGAAAGTTGCGGTGATGTTCCTGATGATGATTTCTTGTTTCCTGGTGTGTTGGACACCCTATGCTGTGGTCTCCATGCTAGAGGCCTTTGGCAGGAAGAGTATCGTCTCCCCCACGGTAGCCATCATTCCCTCTCTCTTTGCCAAATCCAGCACTGCCTACAACCCCGTCATCTACGCCTTCATGAGCAGAAAGGTCAGCAGGGTTTCCTCAGTTCTGTTGGAGAACCTCTGAGATTTTAAATAAAATTATTAAATAATTATTATAGTAAATAGTAATATAAATATATATATAAAAAAACTATTTCTTACAATTTTATACTAGATTCAGCAGAATTTTACTTGTATTATTCCATCATTTTTTGGGGCATAATGATTTTTTTAATTGTATAAAATGTTAGTAAGTTGTACCGTAAATTAAAATCTTTATCATGTTTTTTGTTTTTGTAAAGGAAGTTAATAATATTTAACTTATTTAGTTAATAAATAGTTAATAATATTATTTCATATTTTTTTATTTTCATTTATAAAAATAAGGAATTGCTCAGACAGGATGTCGTACGAAAAGAAAAGCTGAATTCATAAAGTTGTCAGCAGAATTTGCACTGTAATTATTTTATTTTATTTTTTTCAAAATTGCTTTCGCAGTTTCGCAGGTGCATGTTACAGATGCTTTGTTCTCGCCTGGCCAGTCTGCCGCACACCATTAAGGACCGTCCCCTGGCCCGCATCGAACATCCTGTACGTCCCATTGTGATGTCACATAGCCGCGCTGACCGGCCCAAAAAGAGAGTGACCTTCAACTCTTCCTCCATCGTATTCATCATCGCTAGCAATGACACTCGTCCTCTGGACATCACCACCAAATACAATGATGAACCAGACATCAATGCAATTCAAGTTCGACCCCTTTGACATTTGCCGTGGTAACATTAAAAATGGCATTGAAGTTCACGCTAAATTAAAATAATTTATAATATGCAGAAGATACATCTCTTTTTATAAACATGGAAACATGGATGTCTTTATGCAGCAGTAATGCAACATAAACTGACATTTGTGTTCCAGTCAGGACTTGAGAATTATATAAATTGTAACTGTTTAAGTGTTTTATGAAAATGACTTTCGATCAATTATACCTTTTCCATCTCTTTTGACACTGAAACTTCCACCTTCACCCAGTTCCATGGGATGATGAGATATCCAGCAGTTTAGATCACACAGTCTGTGAGTAGAATACATTAGTGAGTTTCCTTAGATAGATTAGGAACACAGTGTTCATGCAAGGACACTCCTGGAGGACTGGACGTTTGTTAAAGCATGAAACTCATCCAGACAGTCAGTCAGATCCACAGCGCCCCCTGGAGGTAATGAACTTTGTGTCCTATATGAAAATAAGGCAAGCATCATCACCATTTCTACTGCTTCCTTTTTAGATTATGGCTTTGAACAAACCCTAAATTATTCAACTTTGGTGAGTATACCTCAAATACCTCAAAATACCTCAAGTTGCTTCTTGAGAAGAGGTGTGTTTTTCCTTTTCTATTATGAATGTATTTAAAGGGTTAGTTCACCCAAAAAAATTAACTGCAGTCAAGCCAGCCTCCAGTTCGAAATGAGCAGTCAAACTAGCCGCCCCTATATTTCTCTATGCGCTTATACACTAGCTATTACGGTAAGACCGTCAACCTTTCTGAAACTGAAAACATTGATCTTCCAGCGAAGGCTATTTAATTTATTCCGTCTGTCCGTCTGTCTATCTGTCTGTCCGTCTGTCTGTCTGTCTGTCTATCTATATATTCTGCCTATAACTATATAACTATATTCTATCTATCTATAACATTCTGATGTTATTTTACAGAATAAGAGCCCCCCGTTTTGTCCATACATTCAAAAAATCATAAAAATAAAAGTCCTAGCTTCCACAGACCAATTCCTTCTCAGATGGAGAGTACACCTTCTCAAGGTGTCCCCTGCAAAGTTTCAGGACATTCTGATGTTGTTTTACAAAATAAGAGCCCCCCAAATTTCATATATTACCGGTTTTGTCCATGCATTCAGAAAATCATAAAAATAAAAGTCTTAGCTTCCACAGACCAATTCCACCTCAGATGGAGAGTACACCTTCTCAAGGTGTCCCCTGCAAAGTTTCAGGACATTCTGATGTTGTTTTCCAAAATAAAAGCCCCCCAAAACTAATATATTACCTATTTTGTTCATACATTCAGAAAATCATAAAAATAAAAGTCCTAGCTTCCACAGACCAATTCCACCTCAGATGGAGAGTACACCTTCTCAAGGTGTCCCCTGCAAAGTTTTAGGACATTCTGATGTTGTTTTACAAAATAAAAGCCTCCCAAAACTCATATATTACCTGTTTTGTCCATACATTTAAAAAATCATAAAAATAAAAGTCCTAGCTTCCACAGACCAATTCCACCTCATATGGAGAGGACACCTTCTCAAGGTGTCCCCTGCAAAGTTTCAGGACATTTTGATGTTGGTTTACAAAATAAGAGCCCCCCAAATTTCATATATTACCGGTTTTGTCCATGCATTCAGAAAATCATAAAACTCTTAGCTTCCACAGACCAATTCCACCTCATATGGAGAGGACACCTTCTCAAGGTGTCCCCTGCAAAGTTTCAGGACATTTTGAGGTTGTTTTACAAAATAAGAGCCCTCCAAATCTCATATATCACCTGTTTTGTCCATACATTCAGAAAATCATATAAATAAAAGTCCTAGCTTCCACAAGCCAATTCCTTCTCAGATGGAGAGTACACCTTCTCAAGGTGTCCCTTGCAAAGTTTCAGGACATTCTGATGTTGTTTTACAAAATAAGAGCCCTCCAAATCTCATATATTACCTGTTTTGTCCATACATTCAGAAAATCATAAAAATAAAAGTCCTAGCTTCCACAAGCCAATTCCTTCTCTGATGGAGAGTACACCTTCTCAAGGTGTCCCTTGCAAAGTTTCAGGACATTCTGATGTTGTTTTCCAAAATAAAAGCCCCCAAAACTAATATATTACCTATTTTGTTCATACATTCAGAAAATCATAAAAATAAAAGTCCTAGCTTCCACAGACCAATTCCACCTCAGATGGAGAGTACACCTTCTCAAGGTGTCCCCTGCAAAGTTTTAGGACATTCTGATGTTGTTTTACAAAATAAAAGCCTCCCAAAACTCATATATTACCTGTTTTGTCCATACATTTAAAAAATCATAAAAATAAAAGTCCTAGCTTCCACAGACCAATTCCACCTCATATGGAGAGGACACCTTCTCAAGGTGTCCCCTGCAAAGTTTCAGGACATTTTGATGTTGGTTTACAAAATAAGAGCCCTCCAAATCTCATATATCACCTGTTTTGTCCATACATTCAGAAAATCATAAAAATAAAAGTCCTAGCTTCCACAAGCCAGTTCCTTCTCAGATGGAGAGTACACCTTCTCAAGGTGTCCCTTGCAAAGTTTCAGGACATTCTGATGTTGTTTTCCAAAATAAAAGCCCCCCAAAACTAATATATTACCTATTTTGTTCATACATTCAGAAAATCATAAAAATAAAAGTCCTAGCTTCCACAGACCAATTCCACCTCAGATGGAGAGTACACCTTCTCAAGGTGTCCCCTGCAAAGTTTTAGGACATTCTGATGTTGTTTTACAAAATAAAAGCCTCCCAAAACTCATATATTACCTGTTTTGTCCATACATTTAAAAAATCATAAAAATAAAAGTCCTAGCTTCCACAAGCCAATTCCTTCTCAGATGGAGAGTACACCTTCTCAAGGTGTCCCTTGCAAAATTTCAGGACATTCTGATGTTGTTTTCCAAAATAAAAGCCCCCCAAAACTAATATATTACCTATTTTGTTCATACATTCAGAAAATCATAAAAATAAAAGTCCTAGCTTCCACAGACCAATTCCACCTCAGATGGAGAGTACACCTTCTCAAGGTGTCCCCTGCAACGTTTTAGGACATTCTGATGTTGTTTTACAAAATAAAAGCCTCCCAAAACTCATATATTACCTGTTTTGTCCATACATTTAAAAAATCATAAAAATAAAAGTCCTAGCTTCCACAGACCAATTCCACCTCATATGGAGAGCACACCTTCTCAAGGTGTCCCCTGCAAAGTTTCAGGACATTTTGATGTTGGTTTACAAAATAAGAGCCCTCCAAATCTCATATATCACCTGTTTTGTCCATACATTCAGAAAATCATAAAAATAAAAGTCCTAGCTTCCACAAGCCAATTCCTTCTCTGATGGAGAGTACACCTTCTCAAGGTGTCCCTTGCAAAGTTTCAGGACATTCTGATGTTGTTTTCCAAAATAAAAGCCCCACAAAACTAATATATTACCTATTTTGTTCATACATTCAGAAAATCATAAAAATAAAAGTCCTAGCTTCCACAGACCAATTCCACCTCAGATGGAGAGTACACCTTCTCAAGGTGTCCCCTGCAAAGTTTTAGGACATTCTGATGTTGTTTTACAAAATAAAAGCCTCCCAAAACTCATATATTACCTGTTTTGTCCATACATTTAAAAAATCATAAAAATAAAAGTCCTAGCTTCCACAGACCAATTCCACCTCATATGGAGAGGACACCTTCTCAAGGTGTCCCCTGCAAAGTTTCAGGACATTTTGATGTTGGTTTACAAAATAAGAGCCCTCCAAATCTCATATCACCTGTTTTGTCCATACATTCAGAAAATCATAAAAATAAAAGTCCTAGCTTCCACAAGCCAATTCCTTCTCAGATGGAGAGTACAGCTTCTCAAGGTGTCCCTTGCAAAGTTTCAGGACATTCTGATGTTGTTTTCCAAAATAAAAGCCCCCCAAAACTAATATATTACCTATTTTGTTCATACATTCAGAAAATCATAAAAATAAAAGTCCTAGCTTCCACAGACCAATTCCACCTCAGATGGAGAGTACACCTTCTCAAGGTGTCCCCTGCAAAGTTTTAGGACATTCTGATGTTGTTTTACAAAATAAAAGCCTCCCAAAACTCATATATTACCTGTTTTGTCCATACATTTAAAAAATCATAAAAATAAAAGTCCTAGCTTCCACAAGCCAATTCCTTCTCAGATGGAGAGTACACCTTCTCAAGGTGTCCCTTGCAAAATTTCAGGACATTCTGATGTTGTTTTCCAAAATAAAAGCCCCCAAAACTAATATATTACCTATTTTGTTCATACATTCAGAAAATCATAAAAATAAAAGTCCTAGCTTCCACAGACCAATTCCACCTCAGATGGAGAGTACACCTTCTCAAGGTGTCCCCTGCAAAGTTTTAGGACATTCTGATGTTTTACAAAATAAAAGCCTCCCAAAACTCATATATTACCTGTTTTGTCCATACATTTAAAAAAATCATAAAAATAAAAGTCCTAGCTTCCACAGACCAATTCCACCTCATATGGAGAGGACACCTTCTCAAGGTGTCCCCTGCAAAGTTTCAGGACATTTTGATGTTGGTTTACAAAATAAGAGCCCTCCAAATCTCATATCACCTGTTTTGTCCATACATTCAGAAAATCATAAAAATAAAAGTCCTAGCTTCCACAAGCCAATTCCTTCTCAGATGGAGAGTACAGCTTCTCAAGGTGTCCCTTGCAAAGTTTCAGGACATTCTGATGTTGTTTTCCAAAATAAGAGCCCCCCAAATCTAATATAGTAACTGTTTTGTCCATACATTCAGAAAATCATACAAAATAAAAGTCTTTGCAGGAAACTTTGAAACTTTGCAGGTGTCCTCTCCGTCTGAGGTGGAATTGGTCTGTAGAAGCTAGGACTTTTTTTTATGATTTTCTGAATGTATGGACAAAACAGGTAATATATGAGATTTGGAGGGCTCTTATTTTGTAAAACAACATCAGAATGTCCTGAAACTTTGCAAGGGACACCTTGAGAAGGTGTCCTCTCCATAAGAGAAGGAATTGGCCTGTGGAAGCTAGGACTTTTATTTTTAGGATTTTCTGAATGTATGGACAAAACAGGTATAATATATGAGTTTTGGGGGGCTTTTATTTTGTAAAACAACATCAGAATGTCCTAAAACTTTGCAGTGGACACCTTGAGAAGGTGTACTCTCCATCTGAGGTGAAATTGGTCTGTGGAAGCTAGGACTTTTATTTTTATGATTTTCTGAATGTATGGACAAAACAGGTATAATATATGAGTTTTGGGGGGCTCTTATTTTGTAAAACAACATCAGAATGTCCTGAAACTTTGCAGTGGACACCTTGAGAAGGTGTTCTCTCCATCTGAGGTGGAATTGGTCTGTGGAAGCTAGGACTTTTATTTTTATGATTTTCTGAATGTATGGAGACAACAGGCATAATATATGAGTTTGGGGGGCTTTGATTTTGTAAAACAACATCAGAATGTCCTGAAACTTTGCAGGGGACACCTTGAGAAGGTGTTCTCTCCATCTGAGGTGGAATTGGTCTGTGGAAGCTAGCACTTTTATTTTTATGATTTTCTGAATGTATGGACAAAACAGGTATAATATATGAGTTTTGGGGGGCTTTTATTTTGTAAAACAACATCAGAATGTCCTGAAACTTTGCAGTGGACACCTTGAGAAGGTGTCCTCTCCATCTGAGGTGGAATTGGTCTGTGGAAGCTAGGACTTTTATTTTTATGATTTTCTGAATGTATGGAGACAACAGGCATAATATATGAGATTTGGGGGGCTTTTATTTTGTAAAACAACATCAGAATGTCCTGAAACTTTGCAGGGGACACCTTGAGAAGGTGTCCTCTCCATCTGAGGTGGAATTGGTCTGTGGAAGCTAGGACTTTTATTTTTATGATTTTCTGAATGTATGGAGACAACAGGCATAATATATGAGATTTGGGGGGCTCTTATTTTGTAAAACAACATCAGAATGTCCTGAAACTTTGCAAGGGACACCTTGAGAAGGTGTACTCTCCATCTGAGAAGGAATTGGCCTGTGGAAGCTAGGACTTTTATTTTTAGGATTTTCTGAATGTATGGACAAAACAGGTAGGCTATAATATATGAGTTTTGGGGGCTTTTATTTTGTAAAACAACATCAGAATGTCCTGAAACTTTGCAGTGGACACCTTGAGGAGGTGTCCTCTCCATCTGAGGTGGAATTGGTCTGTGGAAGCCAGGACTTTTATTTTTATGATTTTCGGAATGTATGGACAAAACAGGGGGCTCTTATTTTGTAAAACAACATCAGAATGTCTATATGACATTCTGAATGTCTAATGATAGATAGATAGATAGATAGATAGATAGATAGATAGATAGATAGATAGATAGATAGATAGATAGATAGATAGATAGATAGATAGATGGATGGATGGATGGATGGATGGACGGACGGACGGACGGACGGACGGACGGACGGACGGACGGAATAACTGAAATCGCTTTTGCTGGAAGATCAATGTTTTCAGTTTCAGAAAGGTTGACGGTCTTACCGTAATAGCTAGTGTATAAGCGCATAAAGAAATATAGGGGCGGCTAGTTTGACTGCTCATTTTGAACTGGAGGCTGGCTTGACTGCAGTAAAAATTATCCCATAATTGACACACCCAGTCTCAAGCCATCCTAGGTGTATATATGACTTTCTTCTTTCAAGCCAAACACAATAGTATTTTGCAAAAAATATATATGAAGAGTTCAGATGCAAAAGCCTCTAAGTGCCATTTGAAATTGTCTTCTAGAATGATAGTTTTTATCAAGCTTGTATATTTAAGTTCAGTGATTTCACTTAAATGGCAATGAAGATTACCTATTAATTGTTATTTAAGTGAAATTACTGAACTTAAATATGCAAGCTTGATAAAAATCATCATTAAAGAAGAAAATTTCAAATGGCATTTAGAGGCTTTTGCATCTGAACTCTTCATATATATCCAAGCTTGCAGTGAGAGTGAATTGGTACCATTTTTTCAAGCTAGAAAAAGCACAACCATCCATCACAAAAGTAATGGCTCCAGGGGGTTAATAAAGGCCTTCTGAAGCGAAGCAATGGGTTTTTGTACAAGAATATAATAAAATATTTGTAACTTAACTAATAACTTGCTTCAGGTAAAAGCGCGCCGAACACTTGTCTAGTTCCGGTGGAAGAGACCCGATCTCGGACAAATGCTAAAACACAGAGGATAAAGCAAAACTAAACACTGAAGAATTATAAGTCTAAAACGAGAATTCTTTACAGACAAAAATGTCAAAGGAGCTTGAGTTTGTTTGAACCTTGAGAGGCGTCTACTCACCTAAACTGACGCTAATCCCACATCCTACGTCACTCTCGAACGTGTGGATGGCCGCTACGGAAGTGATTACAGTTTATCATAGACATATACACTAGACCTCACCTTGGATACGGCAGTTCATTAGAACGAATGCGTCAATAGAGCCGCCATCTTGAAACAGGGGAGCCCCTCCACTTTAATGCATCAGCGTCAATGTAGTAGACACAGGTCTAACGCAAATAAAATCACCATAAATCATCATGAATGCGATTTTTCTTGTTTTTTGGTTTGTTCCAACGGTCAGACATGTTTTTATCATTGATTCCAGAAAGAAAAAAAAATTATTATTATTATTTTTTTTTAAACATTCTTCCTAGTTCAGATTTCATCCGTGAACTTCATACGCTGCACAAAAGTCCGCCACCATCAATGAATTCGAAGTAAAGGCAGAGATAGCAGCGTTACCTAGCTACTTCCTATGACAAGACCCCTGTGTTCCAAGATGGCGGCGGTTTTGACGCATGCTTAGAACCCCCAGGTGAGGTCTAGTGTATGTCTATATGACAGTTTATTAAATTAGAATTATGGGTATTTTTCTTAGAAAAAAAGAGCTTCAAATCTCCCATTGTAAAGCTTGGACGAGCCAGAATTTGTTGGATATATTTTTTTTAATATAACCCCGATTGTGTTTGACTGAAAGGAGAATGTCATATACACTTAGGATGGCTTGAGGGCGAGTAGATTATCGGGAGATTTTTTTTTTGTTGTTTTCTAACCCTTTAAGATAACTCGTAATTGCGAGAAAAAAGTCAATAATTGTGTGACCTTTTTATTTTTTTTTATTCTGTTGCGGAAACAAGCTTCCATAATTTTTCCAGTTTAAAAAAAAAAATTAAAATCCCTTTGTGAACTTTATCATAACATTTCTGGATGACGGCTAAAACAAGCTGAGTACCAATCGTTGCATTACAAAGTGTTTACAATTTCATGAAACTGATGTAAAATACAGAAACGAAATGCTGATAAATATGTTTGAAAATGACAGTTGAATGACTGAATGCTTGCTTGAGTGGTTGAGAAGGCTTCTGTTATCTCATTCATGGATTATGGTCTGTGGAGGATTTGTGGGTTAAATGCAAACGGGGATTAGATTTTACATGACAAATTGACAACCATGACGACAGGAGGACTTAACATTTCTCCCACCCTAAAAATAAAGTATAATGACAATGTTTAGTTGTACTGAAAGTGAGATAATGAAGGCAGACCCATGAAGCAGAAGAATTCACTCATTTAGTGAACAAAAGATTTCATTCAGTCACCTTTACCTTATTTTGAATCTACAAAAACATTGATCAGTTTGACTTTTAATAATTACAAAGAGATTATACCTTTATGTGCTTTGAAATCACAACTCCCACTCAGATGTGATCTATATGTTATATAAAGTAAAAGCAAACCAGATTAGACGTTCACACAGAATTATTTCTCCCTCAACAATTTCAAGTGCATGGTGGCTTCTTTAAAGTAATGTTCTGGATTCAATACAAGTTAAAGAACCCAAGACATAATGTTGATTATCACAGAAAATACAGAATAATCTACACGTTTCTACACAGGCACAGGAAGAAAACACTTTTGAGAAATATTTCCACTTCAAAAAAGTACATTTAGACAACTTTAAGAGCTCAAATAATAAATGTTTTACAGAAAAACTCATGTCAAGGCAGCGTTCCTGTAGCTCCAGAAGTACAGCATAGTACTAGCAATGCTAAAGTTTAGCATGAACAGATAAAATGTATACCCTGAATGCAATATAAGTACCTTTGCATTATGAGATTATACATGTTGATGAGAAGATAAGTGCTTTAACAATCATACCAGCTGCACATTTCTGCTTTTAAACCATCTGGAAAAGTGCACTACACTAAAATTATTTCCTGTGGTAATCAACATCATGCCACTGATACTGAAGAAGATTTCAACTTTGGTCCAGTACAGAACTATGAAAGCTCTTTGGTGAGTAAACATCAACACAGGCTTTCCTGTGCATTAGAAGGGCTTTAAAGCGAGCATACGGGTCCACAGGTGCTCTGCGGAGATGTTGGGGAGTTTGTGAGAGTTTCTGACCAAGACATACATCCCTCCTGCAGCGGACACAACTCCACACAGCCACAGACTTTGAGTGATCACCTGCAAAAGACCAGCAAGACGTTTACTGATGGGTCACTGTTATTACTGTACTGTGCCGTGAGAAACTTCCAAAATGTTTTTAAATCCAACATTGAGTTTACTTTAATGAAAAGCACTATGTTTACATTTCACTTATTTAACAATGCAGTCTTTGTTTCTAATGGCAGTAGCACCTCATTGCAGTACATGAGATCCAGGGGGCGGAGTTGGATCCAGATCTAAGGGGTGGAGATGGGTTGGATTATGGGTTGGGTTAAGGATCGGGGGTGGAGATGGGTAGGATTAGGGGTGGGGTTAAGGATCGGGGGTGGAGATGGGTTGGATTAGGGGTGGGGTTAAGGATCAGGGGGCGGAGTTGGGAGGATTAGGGATGGGGTTAAGGATCGGGGTGGAGATGGTTGGTTTAGGGGTGAGGTTAGGGATCGGGGTGGAGATGGGTAGGTTTAGGAGTGGGGTTAAGGATCGGGGGTGGAGATGGGTTGGATTAGGGTGGGGTTAAGGATCAGGGGGTGGAGTTGGGAGGATTATGGGTGGGGTTAAGGATTGGGGGTGGAGATGGGTTGGATTAGGGGTGGGGTTAAGGATCGGGGTGGAGATGGGTTGGATTAGGGGTGGGGTTAAGGATCAGGGGCGGAGTTGGGAGGATTATGGGTGGGGTTAAGGATCGGGGGTGGAGATGGGTAGGATTAGGGTGGGGTTAAGGATTGGGGTGGAGATGGGTTGGATTAGGGGTGGGTTAAGGATCGGGGTTGGAGATGGGTTGGATTAGGGGTGGGGTTAAGGATCAGGGGGCGGAGTTGGGAGGATTAGGGATGGGGTTAAGGATCGGGGTGGAGATGGGTAGGTTTAGGGGTGAGGTTAGGGTTCGGGGTGGAGATGGGTAGGATTAGGGATGGGGTTAAGGATCGGGGGTGGAGATGGGTAGGATTAGGGGTGGGGTTAAGGATTGGGGGTGGAGATGGGTTGGATTAGGGGTGGGTTTAAGGATCAGGGGGCGGAGTTGGGAGGATTAGGGATGGGGCTAAGAATCGGGTGGAGATGGGTAGGTTTAGGGGTGAGGTTAGGGATCGGGGTGGAGATGGGGTGGGGTTAAGGATTGGGGGTGGAGATGGGTTGGATTAGGGGTTGGGTTAGGGATCTGGTCTGGAATTCTGCTTACTGTACATGGTTTATTAGAAAGAAAAAAATACTATTTATTTTAAATGAATACTATTAAAAATACAGACTCTTTGCACTTCATAGTGCATTGTAGGATGCAGAATGTTTTTGCACATTCTAGTAATGTTTTTTTTTTTTTTGCACAAAAAAGTTTTACAGTTCATTTCACAGTTCAACACACTTTGATTAGTTCCTGAACAACAGCAGGGCATTTTGGAGTGTCAAATAATAATAAAAACCCTCAAAGAACACAATTAAACTTTTTCTACCATCAGACTATAATGTGCCATTATAATTCTGATGCATCCTCGCGTGAAATAATGTTCAGAGTGGAAATGCTCTTTTAAAACTCTGGGTTTTCAGCCTCACACGGTTCCTGATTTCACACTGACGCGAGTCATTTGTTCTCAAGCACTTTCAAACACACAGGTTTGTTTTTTCTTCACCTTATCTTGCCAATGCCAGCGATTCACCGCTTCATGGTACCGTGTTCTGGTGAATGTGACCTGAAAGCCAAGACATCAAACAAATGAATTAGTGAACAAAAATATCAACAATAAACAAGATGATACACAACACTAAAAAGCTCTTACCATTGTGTAAAGGGGGACGATTGTTTTTGGCATGATGACGTGAAGGATATTGTCCAGGTATTTTCGGAACAGGAAATATTTGGAATTGACATGCGCCCTCATCTACGACACAAATCACAAGGTTGACCTGTCTCACTGTGGACTGCATGTCACATCCGATCAGCTGGTGGCGGAGTGATTCCTGCTACTGTGTGTTTGTACTGTAATGTATGTGTGCATTTAACTTAATGACCAGAAAAACAAGGGTAGTCTAGTCTCACAGCTCTGATAAAAAAATTAAAAAGTCTAAGTACAAACCCAACGACCTTGACATTGAGCTGCAAGTGTTGTGGGAAGTCATGTGACTGCAGGAAGTGACAGCACCTAGTGTTCAGATACAGTATTGCAGCCAATATGAGTTGATGGCGTACCTCTACATAGTTGTACATGGCCAGGTCGGCTATGGCGTGATCGTCAGGTACTCGGACTCTGGTGTATTCTTGAAGAACAGCAGCTGTAGACAGAGAATAAGAATACAATTCATGTACTTCTATAATGTACTGTATATTTAATAGCGGCTCTCCAACTTTATGTATATGTGTTTGTTTCACATACGGTGTGAGCACTTTTTTTTGTATGTCCCTGCAATTTAAGTAGTTCTCTCTTAGCTTTTATATAGTAATTATAACCCATATTGCTAACTAGCAATCATCCTGTGATTTTACTCTGGGATGTAATGATTCAAACAAGTATTTTTAGATTTAAAAGACAGATGAACTTTTGAGAAATGTAATTCATTTATATTACTTTAACTTAATTTAATTAATGAATTCCTTTCATTTCAGAAATGTTTTGAACTTGAATTTTCTGGTGAAGCTGGTTCTGTCTTACCAATGTTTTCATTCAACTGGTCCATAATTTCATTGAGAACTAAACAATCCTCAAATCCCTGTGAATCAAAATAAAAAAATAAATGAGCTTTCTGGGCTTTCAGTTGAAACACTATCTATAAAACAACTCACATTTACCAGTGACCACATTTACATGCACAATATTTAAAGGGGTCATGATGACTCATGACATGGATGGACATGACAATTTACAGAAAATTAAAAGTTTTTAAGGGGCGCTCCTTTAAAGGGATACTCCCCTTTTTTGGGAAATAGGCTCATTTTACAACTCCCTCAGAGTTAAACAGTTGAGTTTTACCATTTTCGAATCCATTCAGCTGATTTTCTGATATGTTCTGTCTTGTTATATCAGTAACCAGTTTCTGGTCCCATTGACTTCCATAGTAGGAAAAAATATATACTATGGAAGTCAATGGGACCAGAAACTGTCTGGTTACTGACATAACAAGACAGAACATATCAGAAAATCAGCTGAATGGATTCGAAAACTGTAAACCCAACTGTTTAACTCTAAGGAGTTGTAAAATGAGCCTATTTCCGAAAAAAAAGGTGGAGTATCCCTTTAAGGATTGTCAGTAAATGGCCACTGTTATGATTGGCTAACAACATCGCTGCATTGGAAACAGTATCAATGTCCCTTTGCTTTTGCACATGAGCAAGTGTTTTAAAAACATTATCCATATAAAACTGTCATTTACAGACTAAGCATTATGAAATCATTTACTGCGGTTTGTGATGCAGCTGCTTTGAGATTTATTATAGTCGGCTGGTTACTTCATAAAATATATAAATGACACTCATTTAGTTCCACTTGATGTACTAAAATAAGTCAAACTGAAATAAAAATGATATAGCCACATTAAAAACAAAACTAATAAAAACTGCTAAAGCTTTAACAACTAATTCAAACTATAAATGTAAACTATAATAGTATCTCCGTCCGTTTTCTGGCCAAGCCCGTAAAATGATGATTACATGTTCGAGAGCTACTGGAATATTTCTGTATACTGTTAATTGCATTTCAGCTGCAAATTGTAACTTGATGTTGAGGTTATGTTAACCTCGTTGGGAGCAATTACAGCTGGAGACTAACTGAGAATGAATATCCACTTACCGCATTCATTCCTTGACCGTAGAACGGGACCACAGCGTGGGCCGCATCTCCCATGAGAACACACTTATCAAACAGATGATACGGGGAGCACTTCACCGAGACCATGGCCTGAGCCGGCAGCCGGAAGAAATCCTGTTTCAGAGCCTCACTGAGAAAACACAAACACACTCCGTCTGACAGAATACATGCACAAGCAGATAACGTACAACACTGGCTCTTTTCTTTGTGACACAATGACTCACTGCTTAATTATGTTAATTATGACATTTACCGTAGACCAATCTCATCCAATCCTTTTAATTAAAATAAAAAACTTTTTTTTTTTTCAAGCATTCAACCCTGTATTTCTTTGCATATTTACAAGTTATTATTCTGCATATATTATGAAAGACTGAAATGGAATATTTTATATAAAGGTCAGTGTCACATTAAGATGCAGGAGATAATTAAATATCACCCTCATTGTTGTTTTAAGCCCGCATGACTTTCTTTCCTCAGTGGATCACAAACGTGGATCGCTTTATTTAGATACAATAAGAAAATAGAGACTGTGACTTTCATTCTGCCAAAAATCTGACATTTTGACATAACAGAATTTTCATTTTTGGGCGTACCGTACTTTGATTATGATTTAATACATCGAAAACCAAAACATGAACGTCACTGACATCATTGACCCATAAACCCCAAAATATCATTATATTATGCAAAATAACAAATTATCATGCACTAGCATTCCAAAATTTGGGGTCAGTGAGATGCTTTTTTTTAAAGAAATCAACAAGGATGCATTAATTAAGTGTCAGTAAAGACATTTACATGTTACAAAAGATTTTCATTTCAAATCCATTCTGTTCTTTCTATCAAATAATCCTTTTAAAATGTATTGCTATTTCTACAAAGATATAAAGCACCACAACTTGTTTTCAACATTGATAATAGTAAGAAATGTTTCTTGAGCAGCAAATCAGCAGATTAGAATGATTTCTGAAGGATCATGTGACAATGAAGACTGGAGTAATGCTGTCAAAGGAATAAATTAAAATAAAAAGGGAGAAAATTGTTATGATGTTTCACAATATTACTGTTTTTTAAATCAAATAAATGCAGCCTTGGTGAGCGTAAGAGATTTTTTTCAAAAAAATTAAAAAATCTTACCTTACCAAACTTTTGTCTTTTTGTTGGCACTTTCAATGCTCAAGGATGTGTAACATAGAGTGCTGATTAATTTTTACAAGCAAATGTAAATCTTGAGCAAAAGGAGAACATCTTCACATGCTGAACAGCACCTACAGTAGATGTCTGAAGCTCATTTACAGTTCTGTGAGGCTTGGAATCACTCACTGTCCTCACCCCTGTCATCTCATCTCAGTACTGTATCTACTTATCATCACAGCATTCATTAAAAAAAAAGAAAAACACTCACTGACCTGTGTCTATTAGACTGCAATTTTACACCTCACCAAGATGTACTTTAGACCTTAGAGCAGCATGAAGCAGACTGAAAGAGAGAGAACTGTACTCACACTCCTATTAGAGGTATAGAGTCAGGGAAGTATTTCTGGAAGAAACGAATGACCTCGTCACCGCTGCGGATCTTCTCGAAATCTTCAAAGGGCATGAAGAGGGTGCATGTGAATGTCCTGTCCTTCAGAAACAAAATCAAAAGGAACATGATTTCCCACAAGGAAACTACAACATAAGCGAAGCAAAAGATTATAATGTACCTTCAAAATGCATTTGGAGGCCGAAATATTTTAATTATTCATAAACAATTGTCATTAAACAGTAATTCTAAAGACCCTGAATTTACTATGAAAAAACACAGACATGAAATACACTATGAAAGACCACATCAGGAATAATACGGCAATAATAATAATCTCAAACAACTGAAAAAGTCACAGAAACCTTTAATAAATAATAAAACATTCATTAATATTTAAAAACAATTTTTATCATACTCAACAAAATTACTTTAATAAATAGTAATAATGAATCATCACAGAAAGCGAATAAATATATTTAATATTAATATTTAAAAACAACAACATTATAAATTATTATTGTTCAAAAATAATAATATAATATTCTATAAAATAATAATAATCACATGAATAGATGAATGAATGAATGAATAGATATAATAATACATAAATATTATTATATTTAATAATAATATTATATTAATAATAATATTATAATATTAATCTAATATAATATAAAATTATATTATATAATATAAAATTAATATAATCATATTACATTAATATTATATTTATAATAGTTATTATTATATAAATAATTATTATTATATTGTTATATAGATAATTTAAAAAACAATTATAAAATGAAATATTAAAATAAAACAATGATAATGAATAGAAAAATCAATAGAAAACAACAGAAAACTTTAATAAATAATAAAATATTATTTAATATTCTTTAATATTTTAAAAACAACAAAAATAATTATAGTTATTATATCATAAAAATAACTAATAAAATATTCTATAAAATAATAATAATAATAATTGCAACAAAAAAAAGAATGAATAGATAATCACAAAAATTTATAAAATAATAAAATAACAATATATTCTTTCATATTTAAAAATAATCACAAGCATTTTAATAAATAATGATAAAATGATAAAATATTCTTTAATATCTGATTATTATAATAATAAAAAAAAAAACGTGTGCTAAAAAACTTGTCATAAAAAACCCAGCAATATAACAGGATAAAAAACACAGAAAATTATTCAATGACCTCACCAAGTTAGGCAGGGCAATCATCATAAAAGTGTTCCTGGGCCAAATGTGCAAATAATTAGGCTCCATCGCAAACTTAAGAGGACGGGGAGAGAGAAAGAGAGATGTGAACAGTCAAAATGAGGTCAGATATGTATGAAGCCTGCTGGATACCATGCTGTGACGCTTACATCTCCATCTTTAGGGGGCATGGTGAGCTCCATGTACCCGTGGGGAATGTACGTTTGGCTGTAATTGAAACGACTTTGCCGTAAGAACTGCTTCCTGACAGCAGAGAAAGCTCCATCGCAGCCTACGATCAGATCAGCCTGCAACTCCTTCATTTGGCCATCAGGTCTGTTGAGAGACCAGATCTCATTTGCATCTCCACTGAAATGTAATCTAATTCACACGGAATATCCACAGACTGTTGGAAACTCTTGTGGTCACATGTGACCCCAGTGATTGAAGTCACATTCATAAAGGTATAGTTCATTCTGTCATTATTTATATACCCACATCATTCCAAACCTGCATATTTGTAACGAAATGAAGGTCAGTAAATAATGTCAGAATATTGAACTATTCCTTCACATGGTGTTTCAAAGAATACCATAGTATAATTTACCCCAAAACATGGCATTGCCATGTCTAAAATAGAGATAGAAGGACATTTACATAGAAAGAGACACTGTTTACCCAATAAAGGTCATTGCTCCTGTTTTTGGACTCCAGTCGTGCAGCTTGTGATTAAAGTTCAGTGTAGTGTTTGGAAATGTATCTGCCGCTGCAAGAAAACATTTCAATTTGGTAAATAAAAGTTCATACATTCATACATTTGACTGCATGCCAGTTCATGTACTCAGCACAAAAAATATGTACTTGAAATGTATTTCTTGTTTCACAGCGTTTGACAGCCCTAATATATATACCTTTATTATATTGAAGTATGATTTGATATAAAGTGGCGCATTGAGTGTTTTCAACTGCTTTTGAATGAAGATGTTTGAATGAACTGTTCTACCTGTTAGCAGCTCCTTGTTGAGGTTGGCTCTGTCCACTGAGAGGATGTACTACAAAAGAAACAGCATGTTTATTGTCAGTCCGCCAGTGGAATAATGACAAGTTTAATCCCTATTATGCATGTTCTGCATTACATATTTTTAATCTAAAATGATGGATTCACGACAGATGTGGAGTTCAGTCACCTGATCTCCAATATAGCTACACTTAGCATCCATTGTGTGTCTGTGTTATGAGAAGATAATGATTTAAATGCAGCTCTGTTTCTGTCCATCTGCTGGTTTCTAGTAATCATAATCTCTGCAAAGCTCATGACTCACTAGGTCAGAGAAACTTTCCACGGTCTTTAAAGTGTATCTGAAGGCTTTTTGCCTCATACGTCAACATGAAACAGTGTCTTCACTGTGATAGGATATTCAAAATAGTGGTTCTCAAATAGTTTTGCTTCGGGCCTAATATTTAATATTTAACATAAAATATTCTATTGTACAACAGGGAATAATATGATACACATGATTCAAAATGCAAATTTATTCATATGCTAAATTATTCAAAGGATACACATCTTACTTTTTTAAAGTTCCCCATAAATGTCACTGATAATATGATAACCTACACAGGCCCAAAAATGTAAATGTATTCATTTGCAAAATTATCCAAATGATATACTTCTAAATTGTATATACTTCTAATCTTTGAAATAGTTTCTTATTAGTCATTAGGTTTTTTTTTTAAAATTTATTTAGTCATTTTCAATGATAAGGGTTCACAAGTGTTCAATGATAATTTTTCACATAATAATGTAAAGCAATCTATAGATTCGGGTGCATTTCTGTCAAACTACGATCACTTTTCATACAAACCACAAAATATATACTTTTCTCCCTTTTCAAAATTTATTTACATACAGTTTGAGATAATATATTTATCTTTTTATGTTATTATTCGTTTTTGCATGGAAAGGTATATGGCAGGACATTACACTTTTATGTGTACATTCTGATTGTAATGATTAACAGACTGGTTTTAAAGGAGAATGTTGTATTGGCTCTGCTGGGGTCACTGGTCATGGTGCATTAGTTATGTATCAGCGGACTTCATTCGTTGATGTATGTCTGATGTAAATGTTCTCAACTAGTGGGTGAATGACCCTATAACTGCGCAATAACTTTACAACAACCTGTCATGTGACAGCAATTCTGAACGCTATAGCATTACTCATCTGCTAGATTGTTGCATAATGTAAACCTATGTTGTAGCCTATGTTATCGTCCAGCTCTAACCTGCTAAATGTAACTATAAGGCATGAAGTTATTATAAACATTAGAGCCAGACCGATATATCGGCAGGTCGATATTATCAGCCGATATTAGGCATTTTCCAAACTATCGGTATCGGCAGTTATAATGGCCGATAAATGAATATTTAAAAAATAAAATAAAAATGGACGAAACATGCTTGAACCATGTCATGAGTGTTGGAGTTGTATAGTTTGTTCACCAGAGGGCACTCAGTAATCAATCTGTTCTGTTAGACAATAAAAGAAACAAGTTTCTTTATAAAATGCATTATCATATTATTTTAGGTAAAACTAATAACTAATGTTTGGGAAATCAGTTAATTTTTTGTTGCGCGTTTCAAAAAAAAATATATATATATCGGTCGATATATCGGAATATCGGATTTTAAAACCAACAAATATTTGTATCGGTATCGGCCTTCAAAATCCTTTATCGGTCGGGCTCTAACAAACATTAATTTTTGTAAAGCTGCTTTGAAACAATGTGTATTGTGTAATATAAAAATAATTTTTAACGCTATATAAAAATAATTTTTAACGCTATACAAATAAATTTGACTCGACTTGACTGAGGTAATCATCCAGAGGGTAACAATGCGACTACATTTGTGTGAATATGTGATGAGACATGTAAATAGTTATTTGTTACCTGTCCCTTCTTGCCGTAGGGTATGGGAGAACGTTTTCCATTCGTATTATGGATCATACGGGCATGCATGGGAATGCCTTTAGAGATTATCTAAAAGAAAGGAAAAAACAGATTTGACTGACTGTTGAAGACATTCACGAAATTGCATCGGGAATTATATATATTTATTTAATTTTCAGCATCATTACTCCAGTCTTCAGTGTCACATGATCCTTCAGAAATCATTCTAATATGCTGATTTGATGATCAATAAACACTTCTTTTTTCCATATATATTTTTTCACATATAACCCTAAATCTAATTTGGGAATGATCTGGGTTGATGTGAATGTTGTTCCAGGACCAACAAAGGATGTTGATTCAGGCGGATGTCCTGCTTAGGTAAATCACTTTATGCATTTCAAATACAAGGGCTCGCAGCAGCTGCATCCATCCACCTTACACATCTAACGCTTCAGACTGACTGTCACACTCTGTCAGATGTGAAGAGTCGTGTTAATTCAGGGTTCCTGGTCTGGCATTCCTGGCTCGGTCAGGCTGAAAAGTCACACAAGTGTAAAATCACATAGACTATGCTCACTATATGTGCTGTCAAAACACATTAAAATTCTGCACCAAAATTGAATACTTCTGTAATGACTGTGTAAGTACTTAGTGTAAGTACCATTTGACCTAGTTTCACATGTTCACACTTCCTCACTGTATTTTCTTTACTTCCCTCTGTGGAAAAGTTTGAGCCACCACACACAATTCATGAGTCGTTCGAGAAAATACTAGTTCCCACAATAAACAGGTAAATGACTAAACCCACCTTATCCTCCATTCCCACATGTTTCAGGGCCTGGCGCCCCCTATGGGACAGGGCCAAGTTGATGCTTCGACCCCTCACGACTTTTGCCAGCCGAATATCTAACAGGACAAAAAGTTTGAATGAACAGGTTAGTTATAACACGAGTTAGGAAGACATTTTAATCCCTTATCTCTATATTAATCGCTTCCAAAAGATTATAAGTATGCTTAAAGATGTTGCAGTATGAATAATAAAAAGTGAAGCGATTTAATTGAGATCACAGCCTTCAAATAAAGTTTAGATTAATCCTGGTTTAAGAGATAGATAAAGTTCTTCACCTTCCCGAGATTCAAATACTGCAACATCAAATCCTCGTTTGGCAAAGAAGCAGGCGTTCAAAGATCCAACCTAAAATGACAGGTTTAGAAGAAGAAGTAGATTATGACAGTAATAATATCTGTGCTAACAAAAAAAACACAAACTTATCAAATAAGCGGCCGCATGTTTTTTGGATATGTGCTGTGATAATAGGCCTACCATGTGGAGTGTAAATAGTACATATCATGGTATTTGAAAATGGTAATAATTTACCATCACATTATCCCTCCTGTACCATGATTGTCACAGCAGCCTGCATTTTAAGAGTGTTGAAAATTACTTTGGATTTTAGAGCCGGAAAGCTTGCAATGACCTATTTTATTTCTTATGAACTTATACTTAACTATAAACTTTTAAGCATAGTAAAGTAGGAGGAATTAAAGAGAAGATTCTGGCTGATTTTATTTTAATCATTTTATTTGAAATGGGTACTGTTAAACTTTCTCAGGCCAAAGTACCAGCACAGGTCTAACCAACAAATATCACCATATTATTTACAGACACTATTCTTGTGCTTTGTGCCAAGTGCAATATTATAATATAACTTGACCAAATTGCCCTAAAGTCTCATTTGAATGTGTTTCATCTTTAAATGTTAATGTCAACACCTTCTGTAACATAATGGGACATTTGCAGAGTTTCATAACTACTTTGTCAATCATTAACATGCTCCTCGTGTAAAGTATGTTATAACAGTATTAGCATACGATCTCTGAATTACTGTGATTAACAAAGGTCACGTTATAAAATAATTGTCCACTTGTTTTTTATAGCAAACATTCTCCAATGAGTAAAGCATCTAACTAAACAGACCACCCGAGTCAGAGTCAAACTAGCCTACATTTTATCAGAGTGATTTTTAAAATACTCAAACATCCAGTGATTGATTTGATAGACAGTAAATGGTGATATGTAAGATATGTAATCAAGTCATAAACATGCAATGATTCTCACCAAACCGCCTCCCACTATCGCGATCACTTTCCTCTTACTGCTAGATTCACGTGTGTGTGGTGAAACAGTCTCTATGGAGTCCATGTTTAACAATTCTGAGGTACTAAATGAGTTAAATGGGGTTTGCTGGAATCAGTCTGTGAGAGTGAATGAGTTTCTAGGAGTTTTAGAGCAGGATTTTGTGGCTATGAAGGAGGAGCGACTCAAAGTCAAACATCGACCAACACCGGATCAGCTGATTTATCAGACCTTCAGTCACACAGTGTGTGAACATCATGGTGATCAAACCCATACAAACTACTCACACGGTTTACGTGAAGTCAGTTGAGTATTTTGTAAAAAATAATAATTTTAATCAACCCAGAATTGCATGGATTGCCCGTATGTAAACGTCATTGAAAACACCAGGGTCTCAACTCATCATGGTTCATGTTCTTTAATATATCACCACCTAGCGGAAGTAAGTAAAACTACACGGATTAGTTGTACCAGGTTCGACGTCAGGACATCACTGGCGCGCGCATCCAATGTGATTCCATGAGCGTTCACCTGTATTTTCGTCGGTCATGGGCATCTGTATATGGGTATCAAGATTTACTGTGTAACCGTCGTGACCTGTAAAATTGGAATACTCAGAATCTGCAAAAATAGACAAAAACAATGCCGTGACCCGGATTCGAACCGGGGTTGCTGCGGCCACAACGCAGAGTACTAACCACTATACGATCACGGCGAGCCACTCAGAGGACGGTCATGCACAATGAAATTTAGAGATATGATTGTCTTGAAACTTTAAAACAGTAATTTGCCCAGTTATAGCAACGTATTTTGAAATCGTAAAACAAGTAATTTGTGCATAACGACAGCTGCCTCATGTAAACCAGTGAAATATTTTCCTCATTTCCTAATTTATAATTAGGCGATTGTGACGTTACTCTTACTCTATTTTTTTTAAATACACCCCAGTAACCCTGAGCTTTTCATTTATTTATTCGTTTTGTCCTGTTTAATTTTTGTATGCATAATTGTGTTCACTGTTTGCATTTGAACGAAAATGTATGTATAATGGTAATGTTCATTCAGTAATACAATAAAAAATAACACTAAGTCTTTCACAATCTTATACAATCTAAACTTCCGCAAAGTCCAATTTCTGTCGCCTTTCTCTGTGTTAACAGGTTGGCCCTTTCAGCGAGTTCTTCTGCTGAACATAAAATAAGATATTTTAAACAATGTTGGTAACCACAGTTGATGGCACACATTGACTTCCATTATTTTCCCTATGGAAGTCAACAAAGAAGACTATCTAAGAACACAAAGGGAGTGGGAGGAGCCATTAACTGTTTGGTTGCTGACATTCTTCAAAATATATTATTTGGTCAACAGAAGAAAGAAACTCATCCAGGTTTGGAACAACTTGTAAATAAGACAGTTTTTATTTCTCGGTGAACTATCCCTTTAAATCATGTGTCTCTTTAAATACTCAACGTGCTGGATGTGGGTGTGGTCTGTTTCGTAACGTCAATCGCAGACAAGGCGTGACTAAGCAATTCCAACTACTTCAGGAAAACAAAGGGTATTTTAAACATGTATATTTTATACAAATACTTGTTATGTGTGCGTATATATTTCACGTTTTTTGGAAATATCTTGTATTAATGAAAGGTACGTAAGAATTTGCTTTAGATGCTCTGAGATTGATTGGTTACGTCTGCAGAACATGGCGTCCTGACGTCTTAAGCAGAGTTTTGATATCCAGCACTGAAGTATGCAGAAATGTGTTAATCGGTGGGCCCTAACAGCGAGTTATCTACCGATTTTATGATCTTATCCACAGTTTTCATTCGAAGTATTAGGTAAGTGTCAAATTTTTGCTTTGTTTTTTCGTTCGTTCAACGATCGGCCCGGTTCGCTGGCGTCGGGCTCGTGTGTTGCTCTCGCGCGCGATAGCATTTGCTAGTGACACAGTATCTCACAAATATTGTTTTTTATTCTGAAGATGTTTGATTTTTAAGAATTTGTCATTGTTGTTTTATATAACTCAGCTGTTGGTCAATATTTTAATAAAAAGACGAAAACGCTGAAAGCCGAATGGACTGTTTAAACTAGACTAAACTTCCACGAAAACTAAACGCACACATAACTGAATCAAACATAATATCATCTAAACCACTCAACTTAACCTTAAACTAAACCCGAACTTACGTTTCAAATAAACTAATGGACTAAATTGACACTTAGGCCTGGTTTCACAGACAGGGCTTAGTGTAAGCCAGGATTAGGTTTTAGTTCGATTAGGAGTAGCTTTTATAAATGTGACATAGAAAAATAAACATTGTTGGTGTGCATCTCGATACATAAGGCACTGATATATTTTAAGATAAGTTTATTTCAGCTAAAACAGCTCAAACAGACATTTTAGTCTAGGACTAGGCTTGTCAAAGGGGAGTAGACTGCTTTTTTCTTTGCATGATTGTGTTCATGGGGTGCAATATAACATGTATTCGTGGTTTTTCTTTTTTAAAAAGTCTTATTTTCATAAACTTCACCTTTGTTGTCAGCCGCGCTCCCCTCTCTCCTGGAACGAGCGGTTCACTTCCTGATTCTATGAAACCACTCCCTCAGAAACAGGCAGTGAGCTCAGATTGATTAGTTTGGGCCGGTGTGTTGTGATTGGCTAAACTGTCGCTCACGTTGTCCGGAAGGTTAACGCCCATTACCTTAACGGGCGAAACGTGCATGTCATGAGCGCCAGATGTAAATAAGGTAAATAATAGTGTCAAACTGCAGTATTAGTTTGAGGCAGAATCAGACCGAGAAAGCCGCAATGAAGGGGTCAAGCAGAAACTCACCACACACGGCTCTTTCTAAACGTTTCTGAATGATAACTTGCTACATTTTTTTAACTTTATACATGTTTGTTTTACACAATAGAATCTGACTGGCAACAAAAGCAACTGACTGGCTACTAATGTTAAACACAAACAGCGTTGGCATTGGTGTACGTTCTTGATATCTCTTGATTTAAAAGACGATATCTCTGCTTACACTGAACTTTCAGCGCTGCAACTTTGCAGACATTGTTCATGCACCAACAGCAACATTACACACTATTTAAAATGAAAAAAGTAAAATCGCAATCAACCCCCCCTTTAAACTAATGAAGTTTCTCAGTAAACTTAATATACTAAACTAATCATAAAGGACTATGTTTTAATTTAAGCTGAATTTTAATTTAACCTCTTAAATGAAAGGGTAACGTTTAAACTAAAGAATTAAAATCCTATTCCTACTGAAACTAAATTACTAAACATGATGTTTTAATCCATGTTTTATATATGTCTGATTGTGTTTTTTGGGGGCCCATGGCGGTCTGTATTTGTGTTGTGGAGCTAAATTTACTTTGACTTTGTTTGATAATGCCTGACTTCTTAACTCTGAATACATGTCTTTTTCATATCCAGGCGTGTCTCGACTCTGTCCGTCAGAATGAGTGATCCGGCTGTCAAGAGGGTGGTGAGTGATATCATTCGTTCTCCAGAAGACAAACGGGAGTATCGAGGACTTGATTTTACAAATGGGCTGAAAGCCATACTCATCAGTGACCCCACCACTGACAAATCGTCAGCCGCACTGGATGTCCACATAGGTAAATGGGAATTTCTTTGCTTCATTTTGCGCATGTCTGCTTGACGCATCACTCAACTTGCTTTCTGCTCCGTTCTATTTTAACACAGACTATTTATTACTAACCTCGAGGACATCTTGGCCTCAAATCTTCATTATTGGCCATCAATAACTATTTAACAGAATTGATTGTGTTGCCTCTCTCTGTTGCTTTCCTTTCCTCAAAAAGCAATTTTTAATAGTCCGGACCTTGGCGGCTGCCCTTGTCCTGGTTTAAGTTGAGAAGAGACACTCAAAGCCCACAAGAGTTTTGAATAATTTTGTTTCTGAACAATCTGTAAAAGTCATTGAAGCCCCCTTTGTGTCAAGTAAAATCTTTTCAGTGCTATATTTAAGAGAAAAACAAAAAATAAAACATTTTATGTGACTTCGAGCTGAAGTGCTGCCCAGTGTGCCAAGACAGACTAATGGGTGGGGTTAACTGATGCCAGGAAGTGCAGCTTTTAACAATCAAAGCACTTAATAGTTCAAGAGTATGTACACACAACCATCCTTTGCATGAAACAGTGTTGCAATTTGTAGGTAGAGATGTAGGTCAGATAAAAAAAAAAAAGTCATTGCTTATCTTTAATACTCATTACACTGTAAAAGAGCCTTTTGTGTAATAGGCCAAAAACACAATTGAATGCTTTGAGATCATGTTTTTTTTTTCTTTTTTTTTCTCCGAGGATTTTTTCGAGCTGCATTTTTTTCAGATCCGAAAAATAAAGTCTCCGATCAATTGCGCAATGACTGGTTTGTCAGAGGCTGCCAATCATTAAAATCAAGCAGAATGAATTTAAGTCATTCATACATCAGTTCTTGTGTAAATTGTTGGTTTTATTTTTGTGTAATGGATAACGTTTTAATGAGTGATTTGCACATTCATTCTGCTATTTTTATTCATTTGTTCAACAGTCTGATTAGAGTCAACATGAATCTGGATTCAATGATTCATAAAATTATTCAAGATGATTTTACTTACAATTTACACATTTGTGTTAATGTATATTTTGTGCTTTTTCTGCTTTGTTTCTTTTTTTTTTTCTTTTTTTTTTTGCTGTTCCGAGTGGAAACTAAGTGGATTTGAATCTGATTTCTGAATGATGGCTAATGACTTTGAAACCTGTCTGACAGCATATTATGATGCAGCCAGTTGTCTATGCTTTCCAATGCCTTTAACATTGTAGCTTACAGTACCTTCATGCAGATCTTTGTGTAAATATATGGGTCTAACTTTAAGCAAGCGTCAAGTTCTTGACTGCCTGAACTTGTTGTCTTCCAGAGAAAAAGTCAACTCGATTGACAAGTTTGTCAAACGCTCAAGATTGTCTCTTTTTGTGTCTGTGCAAACAAGCAGTGTTTTCTTGCACTTCTTAATATCTTGGTTTTCTCTTCTAACTGCCCTGCAGGTTCTTTGTCAGATCCTGAGAACATATCAGGACTGGCCCACTTCTGTGAGCACATGCTGTTTCTGGGCACTGAGAAGTACC